GGTCACGCGTTCTAGACGGCCGCCCAACCCGTCGCTTCTGTCGTTTTGGTGATGGTCCCCTCTTACTTCTCCTCCTCCGCCGCCTCCTCCGCCTCTCTCCGAGGTTGATTCGCGCATCGTTCCTTCTCCCTTTCGCGAACGCGTTTCGCGCCAAGAGTTAACCCCCCTTGTTCCCGTGCCGCGCGCCCACCCGCTCGCTGTCCAGAACCTTACCCGACGGTGCACGGCGCCCCTCGACAGGGGTAAAATCCATAAGATGCGCGTCTGCGCCCTCGGCGTGTGCGAGCGCTCGTTTCGCGATTGTAAGCGCCCTACCGGTCCGAATCATTCTTCGTGCGCGAATGTCGGATTTTTATCCTAAAAGATAACAAAAAAAGTTATATATTGCGATACCGCACGGGAAGCGGTACAGAGTAACGCGTTTACATACCGTATGTAATACCGTATCCTTCGGTTAAACAACAATTTACAATTAATTCAACAAACACAATTTGAATAACTCGTTCGCATGAGCTGAATCGGTTTATGATCAACCGCTCTTGCGGATATTTGCAATAACGATATAAAACACATAGACGTGCGTTCGAATTCGCCGCATATTAGCTCCTGCGCGCAACACGCGTCCAGCGCGCGGAAGAGACGCGACAGCCAATCATCGCGCGAGAGCAGACTCGCTGATTGGCTCCCGCGATGTTTCTCGCCGCGTGTCCTGCGTCGTTCGTGATTCGACGACCAATTGGTTCAACGGAATTGTCCAATGACGACAAAGTCAATCGAAGACGATTGAGAATCGATCCAATAGAGATCGGCGCGTTATTTGCCGCAGACCTGTGTCTGTTTGCGTCACGCGTAAAATTTTCGATATTGACAGAAGAACGCAACGCACACATGTGCGAAGAGTACAGTGGATCGAGATTTGCAGAACACCGCTGTATATTTTTTAATATCTTTGTACAACAAATAAGAGTAGCAATGAATACGCGGGTGAAAAACTCCGATGCGCTCCTTCGTAAACAATTGACGTTCTAGGACGATCAAGCGCATGGCACCGATGACTGGTTGACACGCGTTGGCAGGCACACGTCCGCCCGTTCTGTGGTGTTACTCCGTGCTATATATCAGTAACTTTATTACGTCACATAATGACCGGCCCAGTGGTCTCGCGGCCTGAGTGCAGGGGCTGCGAACCCGGAGGTCCCGAGTTCGAATCCGCTCACCACCTAAGGATTTTTTTCGGGCCGGTCCCCTTCAACCGAGTTTTTCGGTTGATCGGCGAACTGAATCGGGCCTCCAAAAATTATTAATTCGGATGTAATTCCGAATTTATTTCCCTCCCACAAGGCGATCACAAGTCACAACAACTTGAGCACGAGCCCGACACAGATTAGGTACACGTACTGTGAAAGACGGCCGTGTATCGCGTGGTAGTAGGAGCAAAAAAGAACTGCACAAATTGACTTCAAAAAAAGAAAAATCACTTGATCTTCGACATAAATGTGTCTAATAGCCTAATAGAGCTACAGGCACGTTAAATACCAAAAAAAAAAAAAAAAATTACGTCACATAATTGTTGATATCGTCGCTTGGGGTTGCGATATACATCGTCGAGTGTAAATTCCCACTTGTTCCCACGGCTATAGAGTCCTAATGTCAGACGGTCGTTCAGGTAATTTTATCCGTTCATCTTGGGCGTTCCGATTTGTATTGTCAAATCAAGTTTTCACATTCTCGATAACATTCTTTGAAAAACGTTTTTATCGATTGGCTACTGTGTATTTTTAAAGATGGTATGACTACCGATCGCCTTTGGGAGGGAAATTAATTCGGGATTACACTCGAAATTAATTTTTGGAGGCCCGATTCAGTTCGCCAATCAACCGATAAACTCGGTTGAAAGGGACCGGCCCGGAAAAAATCCTTACCACACTCCAGGGTGGTGAGCGGATTCGAACTCGGGACCTCCAGATTCGCAGCCCCTGCACTCAGGCCGCGAGACCACTGGGCCGGTCGGGATAAGACACGTTGAGCTGAAATATAGGCTGCTTTCCTTTTAGGAGACACAGTCGACACATCCGACACAAATCGCCACACGTCGCTTTCCATTTATAATTGTGATCGACCTCAATCGACACACTTCGACTCTTCTCGGGAGGAGAGTCAGAGTGTGTTTAAGTGTGTTTTTGACCGATTAAACGCATATATCTGCTCAAACCAGCTTCAAATATTTCATTTGTATATATTATACATAAAATCAGAATTACTTGCTGTTAATAACAAACATATATTAATAATCATATAAAAATATATGTACACTCTT